ATATTTTTTTTTTTTTAAACGAACTTCTCTACAAAATGGTGAACTGCTGAACATTTAAAATTGGGTCTTCAAAAATAAATTCATTTGAAAAATAGGTAGTTCACCATCACCCACCTTAAAGGTTATGGGTTGAGTTACCATAAACAAGGGCGATGCTGGTTGCCACCTGGAGCTGTTTCTATGCTTCGCCATTTCAGGCACAGGGTTGGTCCTCCAGCTGATGTGTCAGGTTGACAAGAGCATATGAGGTACTGTCACCACTTAATACTTTGGATTCATGAGAATCCTCCCTGGCCTGAAATGAGAACGAGCTGTTACAAGCTGAATGGTGGAGCCCCTATTGAGAGAGGCAGGGTGGCGTAAGGACTGGGTCCCTGGAGGGGCACAGAGGCCAGGGCTCAAATAGAGATGTGTTTTGTTAAAGTCAGAACATATTTTATATTAAAATTGAGCATAAACGTTTATTTGTTACAGCATTTATAAAAATGAATCAAAAATAGAAAAATATTTAAAAAATATAAGTATCAATGTACAGTTAAATAATTCACCAGAACAGATTAGATTTGCCCTCAATCTCTAACCTTTATAGTTCAGGCTTAATTTCTTCTTTTTAAAAAAATCCTCACCGAAGAATATGTTTTTCATTGATTCTAGAGCGAGGGGAAGGGAGAGGGAGAGAGAAACATCGGTGTGAGGGAGAAACATTGATCAGTTGCCTCATGCACACACCCGATTGGGAGTTGAACCCGAGACCTGGGTATGTGCCCTGACTAGGAATCAAGCCGGTGACCCTTCAATGCCCAGGACGATGCCCTAACCACTTAACCACACCGGCCAGGGCCAGGCTCAGTTTCCATAGGCTTTCAGGTTTAAGTAGAAATGACCCTCATTTTTATCTTAGTTCTTCTAAAATGTAGACAAGCATGTGTTTGCAAAAATTATTTGTATACTTTCTTTTGTTGTTTAGGTTAGTGTTTTGGAGTTATAGTGTTGACAGGATATTGAGGTGCATCCGCTTTTGATCAGCTACCCAGCATCTCTTCAGTTGCGAGTATCCGACTAGAGAGGAATTTGTCACAGTTGCAACAGGCGCTCCGTTGAGACTTGTTTCCCCTTCCCCTCTTTACTCCTGTGCGTTTTTCTTACGTAAGAGACCCCCTTACTCCTCTCTTGCCTGACTTCATACTGACAGGCTTGATTGTACATAGAGGGTGCTGACGCCCCTTTGAAAGTGCTCATTTACCATCTGTGTCTGTGGAAGTTCAATTACAGGAAACACCTCTTCTCAGAGAGCAATGGAGAGTCAAGTTCCAGTGCCACTGGCACCGCCCTGTCTTGGACGGTTCACCAAGACAGGAAATCCCTAAAACCATATCCCAGGAGGAAAAAGACAAGAACCAGAAGTAGCTTAAGAAGTAAGTTGGGCGCCTGCCTTCCTTCAGGCCCTTTTTTAAGTAAGTCGGCAGGTATGTATTTCTCAGTATGTGGGGAGAGAGGCCGCCAGAGAGACGTGTATGATCCTGTGAGTTCCTGCCCCGCTGCGATTACACTGAAAAGGCACAATGTACGTACTTGAAACTACAAAACTATGGGAATGGCTGTAGATAGGAACTGACCATAAGTGGAGGAGAAGCTCCCAGGGGAGGAAGCTGAAATGAGCTGGAATCATCACGGAAAGCTTCGGGGAAGAGTTGGGTGGGACTTGAGCTCATCCTCGGAGAAAGAACAGGCGTGGGGAAGGGCAGCTTGCTGAGTTAGGTAGAACTACAAGGACAGACAGAGGACGTGAGGACCATATTCGAGGACGTGATATGGAGCAGAGAATCCATGCTGGGTGGTGAGGAGCAGAGTTGGATCACTAGAAAGGGATCTTACGAGCCAGACCTTGGAGCCAGTTGTGGGAAATAGGAATTGCTTCTCGCCTGCACATGTGTAATGGGAGAGGGATAGATGAATTTTTGTATTTCTCACAAGTAAATTTATCCATTGCATACTTTCACCTTCCATTTTAGTCTTGCCACTTTCCCCTCTCAGTCCTGGCAGTGACCACTATAAAGACCAGGTAAGTCAATTTTATCTCGGCTGCCCTGTGCCCCATGGCATCAAGCATGGCACAGGTCGATCTGTTCAGGGTTAGGCTGTATTTATTTCTAATAAAAACTCCTTTCGGGAATATGAGAGTAACAAGGCAGTGGTATGTAATCCACTGTCAGTAGAAGCTGCAAGGACTTTTAAACGTTTAGTACAGCTCTTGGGTAAAGATTTAGGATCTTTTTCGTTCCCAAATGTTGCCGAAAGGTTATAATAGTGCATCGAATCTGGGCTGTTCTGATTTCTGCAAATGTGTTCCCTTCTGAGTTTAGTTTAAAAAATAAACTTCTTGGTTTAATTCTTCCCTTAGTGTTCAGTTTGTTGATATGTTGTTTCCAAAGCTTTTAATGATTTAAACATTCAGTCTTTATTATGCAAGGGGTTGAAATGCCTGCGAGGTTATATAAACATTGAATAAACCCTCAGAGGTTCTTAATTCCCTTCAGTTACCCTGGTTTTATAGCAAAGTAGTTAAGAGTCTGAACACTAGTGTCCTCTAGACCAATGCAAAGCTGATTTTTCCTGTGATTAGCTGAATCACCTCTCTCAGCAGTTGGCTTTTCTTGTCAAATGAGAACTGTCATGTCTGGCCCCTGGGATTCTGAGGGCATCAACAACAACGTGGTTAGTGCTCCAACCACAGCTAGTTATCTGCCCCCCACCTGGCTTCCTCCTTCAGCCAGGGGAGCGTAGCCCTCTGTGAATCTTCGGGGTTCTCAGGTCCTGTACGACAAAGTATTCAACTCTGCCATCGTAGCATGAAGGCTGCCATGGACTACCCTGGCATGAATGGGCGTGTTGTGTTCTGATAAAATGTTATTTACCAGAACCTGATTTAGAGCGGTGGCTAACTTCAGCTGTCATCAGAATGACCAGGATGGCTTGTAAACACACAGATTGCTGGGTCCTGTCCCCAGAGCTTCTGATTGAGTAGGTCATAGGTGGGGCTTGAGAATTTGCATTTCCATCAGGGTCCCAGGTGTTGCTGATGCTGTGGTCGAGGACCACACTTTGAGAACTTTGACTTGGAGTTATTTTTGATTTAGAATTTTCAATTGATATATGACCTAGTGTGCTCCAACTCTGGGATCTAATAGACTTAGTGTTTAGTTTCAAATGGAGCAAATCCAATACTTAAACTTTTTTAAAGGATATTGGAAACATCTTGGAATTTTTTATAACTTGTCTTGCGTGGTTACGAATGTTAACACTTCTAAAAAGTACTATATTTTAGGCTAAACTTCTAACACCATTGTGGAAAGATACCTCCAGGCAAAATAATGCCATACCTCCAAAAATTTCTGGACCAAAATTTCAGGGTAGTTCTGCCCGTTTAACTCCTGAAGCTTCTGCCCAGAAAACAGGTACCCGATTTCTGTTAATTTACATAGAAAAAAATTATTATATTTTGGGAGAGGTAGTTTGAAATAAATAAAACATTTTTCTTTTACTATCTGTTGGAGAAAGTGTGAAGGCATGAGTGTTCTTTTCTTCAATATTCTCATTGGCAAGAGATAGAGGAGATTATGTTTTAATTTTGCTTTAACATTTGAGGTCAGCTTGTGCATAAGAAGCAACTCAAATGACGACGTGCTAGCAGGGGCTGGCAAACTTTTTAAGGACTGGGTAGTGCATACTTATTGCTTTTTGGCCCCTATACTTTCTGCTGCAACTATTTAACTCTGCAGTTGCAGCACAAAATCAGCCCTAGGCAAGATGTAAACTGATGGGCATGGCCGTGTTTCCATAAAACTTTATTTGTAAAACCAGGTGGCAGAAGGGGCCTGAGGGGCCAGAGTTTGCCAACCCTTGACCTATAAGGTTTATCTTAACCCCCCACTGGATTTTATTAAAACTACTTGCATCTTTTAAACTTGTAAGAGTAGGGGTTTTGTTTCTCTCACCTTTATCAGCTTACTCAGCACATTGCCAGGCAAATAACGGCACTAAGTAAGTGTGCAACTGGCCACCTTCTAGCTTGGCTGCCACTGGCAGAAAAGAAACAAGGAGAGAGGAAAATTAGCAGAAGAGAGTAAGAGGGAATAGGGGAGTGGAACGAAGAGAGAAGGAGATGCAGGGACCACAAGGTGGAGGCAGTAGAATCCTGGCCCATGAATTTGGGGCCAGATGGACACTATGAAAGGTGCTGATCTCATGGAGGGAACTGGCCATTCATTTTTATCTACAGGGCTGCAAACCCAGTAGCCTTCCATACGTGCCACAAAGGAGCCAGTCGTTGGTTTTTGTTTCAGTCAGTCCTGTGTCCCCTTTGCTTTTGATGGTGGGATTTACTTGCAGAGGGATGGTGAAATGCTAGTGCCTGGGGCTGCTGCTTAGTGTGCTCATTCCCTCGAATCTGTTCTAAGACTCGGAACTTCAGAGCCCCCGCCCCCAGAGCAGCCCGTCTTCACTGCAGCGCTCAGAAGCTGAAGAGCATGCGTCTGAGGTACAGTTTAATTGTTGAATTTTCACCGGGTTTTCCAGAATTAATGTTATATTTGCCTAATGTACTGGCTTGTTCCGCTTGAGGGGTGATGTAACATCATTTGCATTTTATTTGACATAAATACATATACTTGTGGCCTTCTTGTTGTTTTTCAAGTCTGTGAACCAAGACTCACTGATGAAAAGTGCTAACCTCAGGCGTAAACTGGGAAACCTGGAAGACAGAGGTGAGAGAATTCTAAACTCTTTTTGTAGAATACAGCAAAATTGATCTGATTTTGGCGGCTGGGCTGTTACTCAAATTGCAACAGATAAAATCACTTTACCGAGGGCCGGCTGCCAGGCCTTGGAGAGCGCAGTGTGATCTGCACACCAGCTCCCAACGTGTGTGAAGGTCAAGGAGAGGGGCAGGGGGCTTCACTCAGGAATGAGAAAGGCCTGTGTCAAGAAGCATATAGCTTGGAGTCCTGGATCCTGCCAACCAGCACCCCTCCTCTTCGGCCTTACAGAAGGGCTTAGTGGGGGCACTTACAGTTTATCAGCAGTGTTTCAAAAGGTCATGTAGCCAAGGTATTAAAACTTCTGAATTCATTTCTCATGGTAACAGTGATAGGAAGGTTTCCTGGCCAGCTCACCATGTGCTGAATTGGTAGAGCGCCTAACTAACCACTCTCTTAGGGTGTTTGTGAACTGTTTGTTTTTTCTTCACATTTTAAGTTAAATAGTAGGGAGATTCCAATAGTTTGAACTGTGTTCAGGATATTTAGTGTATCAATACAGCAAACATCTGCGAACCACCAGTTTAAGAAACATTACTTTTTCCAAATCTTGGTTCGCTCCACCCCACACCATCCCCACCCCTTCCGCCCTCATAGCAGTCCATGAAGCTTCGTTTTGTGTTAGATTCCACCGCTTTTGCTTTTTTCACTTTTACATTGTGAAGAATACCATATTCAGAAGAGAAAAAAGACATGCATGTGGTTTAAAGAGCGATCATAAGGTGACCGTGTCTGCAACTCAGAATGAGAACCAGAAAATTGTCACTGGCTTGGGACCCTTGCACACAGGCCCATGCCCTGTTCGTCCCCTCTGTCCCTCACAGAGGCCACAACAGCCCTGAGCTGTGGAAACGCTTCTGTCGCTTTTCCCTTTCGTTAATTTTACTTTTGTGTGTGTGTGCATCCCTAAATAATACGTAGTTTATATTTGATTTGAAATGTAAACAAACGGCATCATGCTGTGACTATCTGGTGTGGCCTGTTTCTTTTGCTCAGAATCACTTGTAAGATCCATTTACTGCTGTTGCATGTGAGTGAAGTATATTCATTGTCCTCACACCGTACGTAGCGTTCGGTTATGTGAAAATACCATTATGTATTTATGCATCCCATGGGGTCTTTGACTTGTTTGCAGTTTTAGTTGTTGGAAATAATGCCAGTTTAAAGACTCGTGCACATTTCATCATGCAGGTAGAGAAAAATATTAGGTATGTTTTTAGAAATAGAATTGCTGGGCCCTGGAGCATACATATCTTTACCAGTTTTAGCTGTACCAAACTGTTTTCCCAAAGTGGTCGTGTCAGTGTGCTTTCCCGCCAGCTGTGTGTGAGAGTCCTGTTGCTACACATTCTTGCCAACGCTTGGTATTTAAAATTTTCGATGTGTGTGTGTGTGTGCATGTATACATTGAAGTTCTAATTTTAATATCCCTGATAAAAGTTAAGCAGCATTTCATATGTTTACTAGCCCTTTGAATTTCCTTTTTTGTGTAATGTCTAAAATGTCATGCCGACTTGTCAATAGGATTGTCTTTTTATATAAATTTCTAGGAGTTCTTCATATAGACCGGACTTGGTTGTATGTCTTGTAAATATCTTCTTCCACTTTGTGGTTTGCACTTCTCTGTATGATGCTGTTCGTGTTTGTCTTTATGACTTCCTTTTCAAAAAAGGAAAGTTTTAAACTTTAATGAATTGGAAATTATTAATCTTTTCTCTATGGGAGAAATTCTTTCCTATCTGAAGTCAAAGATATTCTCATATACTGTTTCCTCTGTTATGGACATTGAATGCTGTACATTTCTAAGGACTGCTATAGGCGAATCCCACACGTTGTAATATATATTTGTTATTACTTATTTTGAAATGTTTTCTGGTTTTTTCTTTTGAAGAAAAGAAGTGTATATCTTAATTCTCAGTGGTGTGGTATTTTTCTAGCTCTTTTTGTTGCTGTTTTCTAGTTTGATTGCCTGTGGCTAGCGAATAGTTGGTATGATTACATCCTCTGGAATTTCGAGATGTACTTTATGATCCAATATATGTCAGATTTTTTAAAGGTTAGTATGTGGTTAAGAGTATATTCAACAATCATTGGGTGAATCATCTCTACATATGTATATCCATTAGGTCACTGTTCTTTATGTTCTTCAAGTATTTTACATTCTTACTAATTATTTTCAGTCTCCTATCAGTTGGTGAGAGTAGTGTGTTAAACCCAATCATTATGATTGTGAACTTGCCAGTGTTCTCTTTTGATTCTGTTCAATTTTGACTCATTAAATAAGAATGTCTTCAGGTGCTTATAAATAAAATAGTTTATCCTTATGGTATATTGAAACTTTTATCATTGTGAAGTGAGCCCCTTTATCTCCAATAATGTTTTTGTCTGAATCTGATATTTCTTTTAGAATTGACTTAGTATAATTTTTCATCCTTTTATGTTTAACGTATAGATTTTAACGTTATAGATAACACTTGTAAATAGCCTATAGTTGGATTCCCTGACCCCTCATATCATAGTATTTGTCTTCAAACTGGAGTATTTTGTCCATTTACATGTAATGTAATTACTGCTACATTTGGATTTGTTACCAATTTATTTTGTGTTTTCTATATGACCCAACCATTTTGATTTTCTTTCTTGTATTTTTATTTTGCTTAAGTATTTTTTCTCATTCCATTTCCTCTTCTACTCATTTGTAGTTCTGTACTCTGGGTGGTTTTTTTTTTCTTCTTCTTTTTTTTTTTTTTTTCATCTGTTAACCTAGAAATTATAACATGCATAAATTTTCAAATTCCACTTTAATCAATAATATTATTTTCCTCTTAGATTGTATAGGACCTTAAGACTCCTGAATTCCATTATCCTACCCCAACCACATTATGTGGTGGTGTTCTTTAATTTAATTTAATTTAAAAAGTGAAGGCATGTTTTATGTAGTCATTTATGTTTTTATATTCCCACAAATTTACCACTTTGCCACATTCTTCTTGTTTCTCACACTTTGCATGTGAGACCCCTTTCTTTCTGTCTGTGATACAACTTTGGTGAAGGTCTGCTAGTGGGAACTTCCTCAGTTTTAGCTTGTATGAAAATGCCTGTTTCACCCTTACTCTTGAACAAATTTTCACTGGGTGTAGAATGTAGGTTGGCATAACTTTTTGTTTCAGTACATCAAAGAAATTATTCCACTGCCTTTTAATGTCTCTTCTTGCTGATGAAAATCCAGTTGTTACTCTAACAGTCACCCTTGGAAGGTAATTTGTCCCTTCTTTCCTGCCACTGAATACTTGTAAGGTTATTTCTATTTATCATTAGTAATTTCCATTTATTAAAATTTATCTAACTGTGGTCTCTTTTCATTGTATCCTGCATGGTATTTGCAGGGCATCTTGAATATATGAAATAGTGTATTTTATCAGTTCTGGAAGAGTCTCACTCATTATTTCCTCAAATATTGTTTCTGGTTCATTTTTCCTTTTTCCTTCTAAAACTCCAGTTAGATACATGATATTCTCTCATTCTGTGATCTATGTTTCTTAAGTACTCTCACATATTTTTTATTTCTTTTCTCTATTTGCATACTGGATAATTTAATTGGCCCAATCTTCCAGTTCACTACTACTCTTTCACCTGTATCTGATCTGCTATTGACTCTATCATGAAATGTTTATTATTGAATCTTTTGTTTCCAGAAAATGTTTGGTTCGCTACAGATCTTCTAGGTCATTTTATATAGTGCTGTGTTCCCTGCTAATATTTTTAAGTTTGATTTTATTTCTTTAAAAAGAGTGGGTGTTTTTGGTAATGAGTATCTGAAGTTTTCATGAATATCTTTCTGCTCTCTGATTCTGCTGCTACCAGCTCATGGTACATTGTTTCTTTGTGTGCTTAATCAGCTATTTATTTATTTGCAGCTTCTCATTTTCCTTAGAAACTATTTATGATAATTCATTGAAACCTAGGATGAAGTGATTGCTTCTTTACCCTTTTTGTTGTTCTTTGCTGATTTATTGCTCTTTGGCCAGATTCTACTTCATCTAGTTATGTCATTTTTGCTTTCTTTTTGTATCCACTTACCAGCCAAACTATTGTCTGTGTTTTTATTTTCAACCTTTATAAATCATTTTGTATTAGGTATTTTTTTTGTATATAGTATAGTATAGGTTTTGCTGTATGATATAATCTGAAGATATTTTTCTTCAGGCGAGTTAACCCTATTTTTATTGATATGGCACATGATTGTCTTAGTTCTGTGACTATAATATGTGATGTTGCTTTTTTGAGGTTTTACAAATTATTTCACCATATGGTCTGTTTTATTTTCAAACATATTTGATTGTAACTTTTAATTTAGGCAGCTTGATTGGGTATACATTTTTGACTTAGTTATTTTTCAGGACTTTGTAGTGTTCCACTGTGTCCCAGGGTTGAATTTTTTTCCTTTCCAAGTGAATTGGACTTTTTGTTTGAGAGCTCAAAGGATTCCTTGTTTCCTCTCTTTTGCACATATTCCCCAGTGTCATATCTACCCATCCAACAGGTAAACATTGTAATATGTTTGCTTGTTTATTTGTTTTGATAGACCTGGAAAGCCTTTTCTATGCTTTCGTGGATTTTCCCCCCAGGTTTGTTGAAATATAATTGACATATAACATTCATTTTATAACTATAAGTTTGTACCCTTTGGCCAACATCTCCTCATTTCTGTAGTTCGGTTGTAATTTTGATGTGGTGCGGGAGGATATGAGTACTGTGCTTACCTACGCCACCATCTTGACTGAAGTTAAGATGTCTTATGTCTTATTTTGTAGAAACTTGGATATTCTGCAGCATTCATTCATTCCTTTGTTCTGTGAATGTCTACTGAGTATCTGCTATGTGTGAGGCACGTTTCTACATGATATTCTAGAGAACAAAACAGACAAAATGCCTGACCTCATTGGAGCTTACCTTCTACTGGGGGAGACATAATACACAAGAAAAGTAATACTTGTATATATCATATTGTGGTAGAGGCTAAGAAAAAAAATCAAGGAAGGGGCTTAAAAGCTGGGAGGTTGTATTAAAATGTTATGTTGTGATAAAGGCTAAGAAAAAATTATTTAGGAAAGAGGGTTAGAAGTTAGGGGGGTACTGAAATTTTAGGTTGTATGGCCAAAGGAAACCTTAGTGCAGATATGTGGGGAAAAGGGCTCAAGTTAGAGGAACAGCAAGTGCGAAGGCCACTAGGTGAGAATGTGTCTGGGGTGTCTGAGGAACCCCAAGGAGACCAGGGTAGAGGAGCAGAGTGGAGAAAGAGACACTTGCCTCTTGGCTTCTCTACTGTCTGCCTACCATATTGTACAACTCCTTGCACATAGTAACATTCAAGTGTTTATTAAGCAAATTAATGAAATTGGATTCTAGAACTTTCAGAGGGAAAACCAATAGTGACTAGCTGGCTATGTGAGGAGAGGGGGGGAAGCAGATGACTTCACTAACATGACTTAGTGTAGGGGCTAAGCGTATGGTGGGGAGGAAAGACTGGTTAGGGGGAGCAGGAACAGACAGCATGGGTTCAAGGTGGAGATGTCGGGTAGGCAATTAGAGACACAAGCTTGCTGCTTACGAGAGCTCAGGCAAGAGCGGTGTTTGGGAGATGACAGTGCAAGGTATGGGATTGATGAGATCCTCCAGGGTCATGGTGTGGGAACGCAGGTGTGGACAGTCTCGGCGTGGGAATGCAGAAAGAGATACGGGTTCACTCTACAGGCAGGACCTCAGGCCTTGGTGATGGGAGAGAAGTAGATGGTAAAGAAAAGCAGGAGTCAGGCTGAACACTAGTGCACTGTTGACAATGGTGCTGCCTTTGATAAGATCAGGAGGGCCTGGATGGGGTGAGAGTGAACATGAGAATAGGAAATATTTAGCAAATGCCAAATGGAAAAGAGAACCTATACATATATATTTTTAAGTTTATTTTTTATTATTGTCAGTATTACAGATGTCCCCTATTTCCCCACCCACGTCTCCCCTTCATCCAGCCCCCGCCTTACCCCAGGACTTCACCACACTATTGTCTGTGTGTCCATGGGCTATGCCTTTTATGCATGTAAGTTCTTCGATGAATCTCTTCCCGAGAATCTATATTTAAATCTCATGAACTGAGGCTCTCAAAGTCACTTGAGCTAGTGAGGAGCCAGTGACCTCATTTATACAGTAGGCCTCAGTACAACCCTGAAGCTCCAGTGTTACCAGCAGGTGGCGCACTCCGCAAGGTGATCAGATGAGCTTCCAAAGCCCATGTGCCTGGAAACCTTGCTACTTTGCAGTTTTGCCTGGAGCTGGGGAAGTTGTTTTGTTTTGTTTTGTTTTGTTTTGTTTTGTTTTGTTTTGTTTTGTTTTGTTTTGTTTTGTTTTGTTTTGTTTTGTTTTGTTTTGTTTGTTTCATGGGGCCTGGGGTAGAGGAATGTTTCTGATGTGAGTCATTACTGCTTTTTGTTTCAGTCAGTCTGTACCTTGCCAAGCAGAGTGTTCCTAAATGTTACAGAGCTCATCAAAGCCTGTTCTCATGTGCCTTTTTTTAGGCATCAGTAGACTCAGAGCTTTGATTCTTGTTGAATGTGCCACATGCTAAGTGATTAGTACCAAGTAACAAGTTTCACTTGCTGCTTGTCAGGGTTAGATATTAACTGGCGAAAAGAAGACCAGATAAACTTGGGACAAAATAAATGTGTGTGCATGTGGTTATTAACATGCTATGCTTCCCTTTAGACATGTCAGAGAGTAGTTCTGCTAAGTGGAAACAGTCAAAATTGGACGAAGATGATGCTCCGGGATCCCTTTCCTCAGTGATAGAAGAAACAGACTTGGCAGGTAACAGCATGCACCCAGCCAGCCAGTCAAGCAAGAGTGTGACAAATGTAAGCACAGAATGTACCAACACGAATTACAGAGAGTTATAGTCTAAAGATCACAGAAGCTGCAGAGCCCTAAAAACTAAGTGTTCTGTCCTTTCAGAGACAAGTAAATTGTTGCGCATTTTACAGATAAAAGCAGGCACATCTCCTGCTAAGCCTTTAGATTTCTGCCTCTTAACTCTTCTTTATAGCAATGTTCAGGGCCTAAGGGTTCCTGAACTTACAGGTCTCTGCTTTAGTTGAAAGTTAACTAAATTTCTGTGTTGTATACATTCACTCTATACCAGTGAAGGAGAATGATCTGAAACATCTGCACTTGTGGGGATGGCCTTCTGGATGAGTGATGCCACTATATTTTGAAACAAAAGGCTAAATTNTACCAGTGAAGGAGAATGATCTGAAACATCTGCACTTGTGGGGATGGCCTTCTGGATGAGTGATGCCACTATATTTTGAAACAAAAGGCTCCAACATGGCAAAATTGGAGGTACAGAGGGTGGTGAAGAGCCAGGCAGCCTGGCTTCCTCCTGAAGCAGTTGGTGTGAGCTTGCACAGGTTATTTGATATCTCTGTTCAGTGTGGGCAATAGCAGTACTTACTTCCCATGGTTTTTATGAGGATTAAAAGAGTTGACACATGCAAATCCCTCAGAACAGTACCTGGCCCCTCCTGTGCCCTCATGAATCTCCTGGAATGCAGAAGTTGTTAGGCCAGCGTTTCCCTTATAGAAATGCTCTACCCATCACTTCTTACAACACCCCAGCACTGATTTAAAGTGCTGGGAAAGTTTGGCTGAAACGGGCACTTCCCAGAGAGGGCGGTTTGCTGGGAAGCAACATGCAGCGCCTGCTGCAAGGACTCTTGGCTTGAGTTGGCCCCGTGGGCCTCAGCCAGAGTCAGCCCGCTGCAGTCACAGCCAGGTGGCCGTGGGGCTTCATGGGTCGGATTTGTGCTCTGCCTGACTGTCCCTTCTCCGGGCAGCTCATGGACTGAGCACATCTACTTCGAGCACTTTGTTAACTTTACTGAATGTTCTGCTTTTATTGTTCAGAAGACATTTCTACTTCATCCCTGGCAGTTGTGCCAGAGACCTTGAAGAGCTCTGCTGTTATCACAACCTTTGAGAACTTCACTAGAGAACTGAAAAAAAATTATGAGGTAATGGTCCATGAACAAGGAAGAGCTCATATTATTTATGAATACACCGTCTTTCACATGTGCAAGTATTCCTGCGTCTTTGGGGGAGGTAGGCTTGTCTTAGCTGTGGTCACTGACTCCAGAGCCTCTGCGAATTGTGGTTCATATTTATAAGGCACCTGTTTCATGTTCCTTTGCCACTGTGGGACGGGAAGGACTATTGGAAATGGGACTCACGGTTTGGTGTCATTGATGGCATTCCCAGACACCTGAACTCCCAGGAAGCAATGATTTGGTCACAGTGATAGACAGGAGGAGGGCGAGAAGGAGGGTGTGGAGAAGGGAGGTGTGTGGGGCAAGGTGGTGTTAGGCTGTGGGGGGTGTTCAGCAGGGTGCTGGCTTACCTTTGTGACGCTGCACATGTAGGCCGTCCCAGAGCTCTATCTACCAGATCAGCTTTAGAACCATTTCAGTTCCCTCCTTTTTGCCCTATTTTTGTATATCCCTGGAGTTATTAAATAGCTCATTTGAGAGAATGGTCTTACCCTAACATACATTCATTTAACTAAGTTGGAAGATCTCCAAAGTCTTATTTTCTACGACACCACTGTAAGCTAGTTTATAATGGAAACTGGTGCATGACATCCAGTATGTGTAGCAATAGTATGAACGCAGGTGTTTCTCGTTGACCTCACTGTTCTTTATTCTGCCGGCCCTGGGGTACATGGGAGGTGTGTAGCATGGCACCGCACCACAGCTCAGTAACGTTTGCTAGGAATGTTGTGTGCGGTTTGTGTAGTTATGGTTAACCCAAATGTGATCTTCTTTTATTGTTGTTATGGTTTAGCTTAGGTACAGAAGGAGTGCACTTTATTCTAAATATGCAAAGCAAGCACCGAATTGCCTAATACAGCTTTTAAACCAGATACATCACTGCAGGTAAGTAGTGGCTTTCAGAGCAAGTTCATAAAAGTGTGATTGCTCACAAACACTTGTCTCATGACCGCTGTGCTGGGTAACGAGGAGCTGGAGCTTGGGCGGATGTGAGGTTTGATGCATTGCTTAACTCTTCCAGGTGTCTGGGCCTTCACTCGTAAGATGAGGGGTTGAACTAAAGGCCCTCCTTAAGCCTCTTTATGGNGTCTCATGACCGCTGTGCTGGGTAACGAGGAGCTGGAGCTTGGGCGGATGTGAGGTTTGATGCATTGCTTAACTCTTCCAGGTGTCTGGGCCTTCACTCGTAAGATGAGGGGTTGAACTAAAGGCCCTCCTTAAGCCTCTTTATATGATNCCTTAAGCCTCTTTATGGTCTACCATTATATGATTCTAAAATATTAATCTTAAAATATTCATAACCCAGTTGTGAAGACAGGGCAAGCATGGGTATATATGTAAAAATGCTGGATAAATGATATGTGGTATAGACATACAGTGGGATATTATTCAACCTTAAAAAGGAATGGAGTTCTGCATCCTGGCCAGTGAGGCTCAGTGGTTAGAGTGCCAGCCTGTGCACTGAAGGGTTGCAGGTTCGATTCCCGGTCAAGGACGTGTACCTGGGTTGCAGATTCCCCACCCCTGCTGGGGTGTATGCAGGAGGCAACCAATCAATGTTTCTCTCTCACATCAGTGTGTCTCTGTCTCTCTCTCTCCCTCTCTCCTTCCTNGTTGCAGATTCCCCACCCCTGCTGGGGTGTATGCAGGAGGCAACCAATCAATGTTTCCCTCTCACATCAGTGTGTCTCTGTCTCTCTCCCTCCCTCTCTCCTTCCTTTCCACTCTCTCTAAAAATCAATGGAAAAAATATTCTTGGGTGAAGATTAACAAAAAACACCCCAAAAAACCGGACTGGAATCCTGATATAAGCTACAACATAGATGAATCTTGAGGACATTGTGCTAAGTGAAATATATAAAAGGACAATTATTGTATGATTCTGCTTATATGAGGTACCTAGAATAGGCAAATTCATAGGGACAGAAGGTGGAATAGAGGTTACCAGCGGTTGGGAGAGTGGGAAACAGGTAGTTATTGTTTAGTTAGCATGGGGTTTCTGTTTGGGATGGGGGGAAGTTCTGGATGATGGTTGCATAACACTGTGAATGTCCTTAACGCTACTGAATTGTACACTTAAAATGGTTAAAAGGGTAAATTTTATGTTATGTATAGTTTGCCACAATAAAAAATACTACACACACATGCACACGCATGCACACTCATGCAAACACACCCCTGTCACCATGTAGCAAGAAGTGGAAAGGTGTTGAGGTTTCAGACAGATGTGAGGGGCAAGAAAGGCGAGTGGAGAGATGGGTTTCTGCAGAGATTGGAGTTGACCCAGGGTGATCACAGGGGGAGTGCTTCTGGAGTGAGGTTCTGGAAATAAAGATTTGAATTAGGTAAAGGAAGGGAGTATAGAGGTTGTTCCTGTTGGAGAGAATGGCCATAAAGGAAGGTGGAGCAGAAAGCCACGCAGGCAGGTCCGTTTGCTTAATTGAAGGAAGTAGAAAGTTCCTTAGGGCAGAATACACAATGTGAATAGAAACTTACAATTTTTTCCAAATATTTATGCAGGTACTGTCATGTGATTCTCAAAACAAGTCCATGAGGCATGGTCCAGGGTGAAGGGGGTCACTGGGGGGGAGGGGGAGACATCTGTAATACTTTCAATAATAAAGATAAATAAAACATAAAAAAATGTATGCATTAAGAACAAAAAACCCCAAAAAAACAAGCCTGTGAAGGACTTTGGGCTCGTGGCACTTCCATGGTCTCCTAGGGGGCGTGCATTTGCTCACTGTGTTGTTCAGCGAGTGCTCCAGCAGTGCTCAGCCGGGCGAGTGCGCGGAGCAAGCTTCCGAGTGTCCTGCCTTCCTGGGGCTTCCAGCCTGATGGGAAGGCAGACGCGAAGCAATTGAACAAATAGGTAGTTTATGTGGTGGTTTGACACAGAATAGCGACTGTTAGAAATTTCAGAAATAAGCCTAGAGATGGGAAAAAAGCCTGTGAGCCAACGCCAGCTTTGCGAGCCAGCTTACGTAAGAAAACAGGGAGCGGGTGGAAGGCAGGAAGCTCGGGGAGCCGTGGTCCATGGTATAGTGGCTGCTGGCCCGGGTCTGAGGTCGTCCCCCTTTCCCTGGGGTCCTCTCTCCTTGCTCTACAAAGTATGATTTGAAATGCCAGCTTCCTCCGGGCTTCTGTTGAAAGACTAAATCAAATTTTGCATAGTTAAGTTTCAGGTTGGTCAGGCAGGGAGGGGAGGGGAGGGAAGAGAGAAGTGTATTCTTAACACAACAGATACCTGGGGGACAAGAAGTGTCCTTGCAGTAAGAAAATCAACTATGAGCGTCTTTTGTCACAGCCAAGCCTTCCCAATGAAATGTGTTGCTTTTACATTTCTCAGACTGAATAAACTCGAGAAGTTTAACAGTTTTGTTCTTCAAGAGCTGACCAGTCTTGAGAAGGATATTCAGGCTCTGAAACACCTTGAGAAGGACATTGTGGTAAGTTCTTTTTGTTTACAACGTTCTCTGTGACTTACGAGAATCTGTTCAGGGTAGAATAACAGCTCACTGCTTCAGCACACCTTTTGTTCAATTTCAGGAATTTTTGGGGAAACAGGCTGATGATCTGAAATCATTCTGCGATCTGCAAATGCTGAGGTATTTTTTAAAATGTATTCTTCCTAGAAGTATTGTAGTTGAAGTGTGAGGTAGTGCTTTGGCTAGACTGTGGGGGTTGATCTTGCTAAAACTTCACACAAGGAGCCAAGTAGCTGCTTCCTGTTAAACCAGCTGCTCTGAAGCACTCCCTGAGCAGAGCCTGGCTTCGGACATCCACCTAGAGGTGCAGATTTTGAAAAGCAGAAACAGGGTCATCCAAATGTCACTGTTTTTGATCCAAGTTGATTTATTTTTGAGCAATATTTTAAAAAATTAAAATGAGTACATTTTGAGCAAAGTATTGAGATTTGTTAGTAAACAGTTAATTTTCGCTTATATATTGAATTGTGTTATGACACAATAGATTCTATCCAGAACACACACATATATGACAAGTGGGTTTATCCCACCTCCCAGTCTGCGGGAGCCGCCTCTGTCCATCTGGAGCCCCCTCCCACTCCCTGAGTATACTGCGTGGGGTAGTGCGGAGCAGGGCCCTTTGTGCCCCTGCGTGGGCCCTGGAAGGGATCCTCGTGTTTCCTTCCGGCTTGACAATCAAGGGAATCTCCGTGTTAACTTACAGTGGCCGAAGCTGTATCTGCCAGTTGAGAATCAGTTTCTGTCACAGAAATCTAGGTCAGATGGCTTAGGATGGGTAGTTTTCTGTTTGCACCATGTATTTCAAGCAACACTTCTGAAATTTGGGATACCCTTCTTCTGGTATTCCATTTAACACAATTAATAATGACAGGATGGACTACAGATTTTCACAATTCTTTCCCACACGCGTCTCCCTCCATGTGCCCTCTTACGTAATTAAAGGGGATATGCTTTTCACTGAGTACCCCAGGCTGTGAATGCTTCTCAAACTTTTTGGAATTAGGACCTCTTTAACTTAAAATGGCATTTTGTTTTTTTCCAGAGAACTTTTCTTTACTCCTTAAGGACTTAGCTCCTTATATGGGCTCTGGTGGGGGTTGTGGGGCAGCCCCCGCAGGTCTAAATCAGGGTGGGGGTGTTGGGTCCTTCCGGGCTTCAGGAGGGTTCCTGAGCACCTTGCTGTGAATGGCACAGCTCACACAGTGCTGTAGTTTTGCAGACAGCTTGGGGAGCGCTTAGGCCCTGAAGATACTGGCTTTGGAAATGTCTCGGTTGGCTGTGGCTGCTGCTGCTGTGTTTCGAATGCAGAACTTCTTAATGGCCTTGTCCTTGGGCATGCATCAGTCACAATGGGTGCAGGGAGTAGGGTGTACTTGGGCATGCATCAGTCACAATGGGTGCAGGGAGTAGGGTGTACCTGGGCATGCATCAGTCACAATGGGTGCAGGGAGTAGGGTGTACCTGGGCATGCATCAGTCACAATGGGTGCAGGGAGTAGGGTGTACCTGGCCAGGTCTTTTTTGGCATGACCGTTGTGCCTTCTATTTTTACTTCTCACATCTTGGAAGCGAGGACCCAAGAGCTGCTTAAACATTTAAAATTTATTGACGATTCCCAAGGAGCTTTTGATTTATGGGTTATATCTGTGAAAATTTTCCACATTAAAGAGTGAGACTGGGATTTAAAACATATATTTATTTTAAAATATCAAATAAATCTATATACTGATTGATGTAAGTAACAGATTTCTATGAACAATAATCAGACTTTTCAAAACAGGAAATGTGAAAAGAGTAGCACTTTTTCATGTTTTTGCAAATCTCTAATGTCTGGCTTAATAGAAGACAGCTGCATGCTCAAGTCTGCTTCTGAATTCAGTCTGTTGTGATACCACGTGTCGTGCAGCCTCTGGAAAATTCAACTGTATATCGTGAGAGAGTGAGAATAAAAAAAGCAAATAATGTCTTGGTATTGTCACCATTTGCCAAAATACATTCTGACCTCATGGAACCTTTGGAAGCTTAGTTTCCTTAGGGGTCCCCAAGGAAAGAGGGGTCCCTTTAGGGTTCCAAATGTTCACACTTTGAGAACCGCTAATTTAAAGAACAAAATTGCTTCTAAATATACATCCCTCCGGGCTTTGCATTTGCGCTCCTTTCTTCCAAACACCCAAGGAAACCCCCCCGTGGCTTGCTGATGAGAGAGGATGGTGATGCTCTTAGCTCACCTGAGTTCTTACTGGGCACCCAGCTCTGGGCTAAGCTCCTGAAGTGCCTGTGAGATTTAGAGAGGTTCATTAGCTTGGCAGAGAGCCAGTATCTGGAGCTGGTCAGTATCCAATGTCTGTCCCTTTGTCATGTTGGCACATTAGTGTTGGCTTTTTCTAGGGAGATGAGAAGGCCCTTTCTCAGACTAGATTATTTCAGCCCGTAGCCCAGTGCTACGAAGAGATTGGGATTCAGTGACTTGAGTTGTGGTTGTGAAACACTTCTGCATATGTGGAGGCTAGTGGTATTGACAGATGCTGCATAAAATAGAATCAAGCAAAATATTAATTTCCTATGTTGATATCCTAGATTGGCCATTGACCCCCCCTATGCTAACGTTGATAACATAGCCATCTATGAAATAACTCTGTGGTATATGCATATACATATATGTATACTCCTCTTTTTAAATTGCCTAATGTGAATGTAATAAGATGGACCAATGTCTTTCAGGCTTAATGCAATTCAGCCTTCCTGAGGAAAGCCAAAGCCCGGTTTTATTACTGCATTCCTGGGGTAGGTACAAAGGTTGGCTTTGTTCAGATGCGAACTGAAGTGAGGGAAACAAGCACTGAAAGATACTTTGTCCACATTACAACTCCTCACTGAGCTTTCTCCTCTCCCACAGTATCTCCCATCTTAAGTTATTATCTTTTTGGATCTGGGTCATTCATTCATTCATTCATTCATCCAGTACACATTTATAACCGAGTGCTTGCTCTGCTGTCAGGCACTGTGCTAAATTTGGAAATACAACGGTTAACATGCAGACATGCTCCCACGGCCATTAAAAATAAATTCCCTGAAGGAATACAGAAAAAAGACAAGTAAACAAAATAATTGCAAGTTTACTGAGTGCTTCGAGGGGTACGAACAAGGTGCTTTGGAAGAGCAGCAGAGCGAAGTATCGATTTCAGATAGGTCGGTCATCAGAGGTATCTCTAAGTGACATTTAAGGTGGGGTTTCAAGAACAGGAAGAAACTAGACTTGTGCACAGTTTAAAGCAGCCAAACTGGTGGGGGGGAACTTGATATCCTTGAGGAACTCAGAGTTCTTGGCTCACAGTGGTGGGAGGGGCCAGTTACGTGAAATGAAGTTGGGAACGTGGCCGGCTCGATGAGGTGAGGCCTTGTTGACCTTGGGGGGGAGTTTGAATTTTATACTGAGGGTGAAGGGACTTATGGATGGATTTTGAGCTAAGACATTGAAGGTGAGGGTAATACACTCTGGTTTTTACTTTAAGAAAAACATTCTAGCTACTGTGTTGAGAAGTGATTGGGGGAAGTAAAGAGCACAAGAGGAGAAAACAAAGAATAGCAGAGGAAAGCTCACCTGGAGAGCATTGGAGAGGGGGAGGAAGGGAGATTCAGGTCCATTTTGGAGCCAGAATTAATACATTACTGACAGATGGAAGGAGGGGGTAAAGGGAGGAGAGATAAGGCTGACTCCTGGGTTCCTGTCTTTCGGCAGCTGGATGGGTGGCGATGCCAGTTAGAGAGAGAGGGAAGACTTGGGGTGGGAGGCATGTGTGGGCAGAGCAGAAACTAGAGCTCATTTGTTAACATTTTAACTTTCAGATGTCTGTGCAATCCGAGTGTTGATGAGAACCTGGAATAACGGACAGTTTTCCAGGAAAATGCAATTTAACAGAAGAAACTCCCAAATACTTAGAACAACAGGCAAACATTCATAGAAGAAATAAAGCCGATAAAGAACTGCCCTGCAAATGCGTGTGGTCCAGATTGCAGTGTGGAGTTCTGCTGGTTGTTGAAAGGAAGGAACTTCAGTGCTGTTCAGCTTGATTGACACTGGCCAGTTCCTTATAGGGGATGGTCATACGACTTCTTTCTGAGGGAGGGAGTGCTCTGAGGGCAGGGGCACTGAGAGCTATTTAGCCTCTTTAGTCATGGGCTTTTGGAGTTGAGTCAGACCAGTTCTCCTCTGTGAGGTCCTCAGGATTGCTTTATCTATTGAGTAGTTATATTCTCTGGTTCAGTTTATCCACTAGAATGTAAGATTCACTATATGAGAATAGAGGCTGGGCCACATCTATATTCCAACCAAAGGACAGAGTGCCTGGCACCCAATAGGTGTAAAATAAAAACTATGTCGGATGGATGGATGGATGGATGGATGGATGGATGGATGGATGGATGGATGGATGAATGACGGGACAGAGTGAAATGAGATGTACTGACTTCTGGTTGGTCCTGTAGTTCAGTTTGGGTGCTTTTTTGAAGTGATGAGCTCAGGTTTCACACGACCCTAAACATCAGGCTTCTGTTTAGACAGTGTTTGTTCTCAGTCATGAGAGGAACCAGGTAGTAATCTGTCTTCTGGTTTCTCTCTATTCCTTGTTAAATCCCTCAAGTTGCTCACTAAACAACAGCAACACCACCAAAAACATGGCACAATCCCTGCAGCCCATCCTCTGCCTGCCAGGGACTTCCAGCCTGGCAGGATCCATCTACCAAGCCATCTGCATCTGTCCACTAGGCTCACCATGTGTCCCTCAGGTCAGGCATCTAGTATGGACCAACGGCATTTCAGCCCTGAGGTAATGTGATCCCAGCACCCCAGCGGTGTGGCCACCAGCACCCACTCACCTTGGGTGCCTAGGCATGCAACCTTCACCCTTGGACAAGCAGGAGAAAGTGGATAAATCAATAGCAAGGGAGACTGTAGGTGTTTCACATGGTCCATTCAGTCATTCAGAGAGATCATGCAGTTGCTTTGCTGGATACCATCCGAGGGCCATTGTTCTAGGAAGTGAGGAATTTTGGTGAATATGAGCCACTCTGATTATTCCTCAAGAGATCAAAACACAGGTAACAGCAGCCTACAGAAAAAAAATACAATAAAGAGTTAAAATTAATCATCAGAGAGATGTAAATTAGAACCACAATGAGATATCACCTCGTACTTGTCAGAATGGCTACTGTCAATAAATCAAGCAACAAGTGTTGGCGAGGCTGTGGAGAAAGGGGAACCCTAGTGCACTGCTGGTGGGAATGCAGACTGGGGCAGCCCCTATGGAAAACAGGATGGAGTTTCTTCAAAAAATTAAAAATGGAGCTGTCTTTTGACCCAGTGATCCCACTTCTGGGAATTTATCCAAAGAAACCCAGAACACTAATTTGAAAGAATATATGTGCCCCTGTGTTCATAGCAGCATTATTTACAATAGCTGAGCTCTGGAAACAGCCCAAGTGCCCATCCGTAGATGAGTGGATACAAAAGCTGTGGGGCTTTTACACAATGGAGTGCCACTCAGCCGTAAAAAGGAAATCTTGCCTTTTGTGACAGCATGGATGGACCTAGAGAACATTATGCTAAGTGAAATAAGCCAGTCAGAGAAAGAAAAATACCATATCATCTCACTTATATGTGGACTCTAATGGACAAAATAAACTGACACACAGAAACAGACTCACACATGCAGAGAACAGACAACTGTCAGAGGGGAGGGGGGTTAGGGGAGTGGATGAAAAAAGTAAAGGGATTAAGCAAAAAGACATATATATAGACACAGACAACAGTGTGGTAATAGGCAGAGGGAAAGGGGAAAGGGGGTGGGGGCTAGGTGGAGGTGGGCGAAGGGAAGGGGGAAATGGGCCCACGCAGTGTGAGATGATGCTTTATTGAGCTGTATACTTGAAACCCGTACCCCAATAAATTCAATAACTTAAAATTTTAAGTCCTTAATATTAAAAAGCTCCTAAAGTCTATATGAAAAACCAAAACAACTAAATTTTTCAAAATGACAAAGAATTTGAGTAGACAATTCACAGAACTACAAGTGGCTAATCAAAATTTTAAAAGATTCACAACTCCTCAAGGATCAGGGGTATGCAAATCTAATAACAAGACGGCATTTCTGCTCATCAGATCAGCAGAAACTAAAAATATTGCCAATATCCACTGTTATGGGGAATGTGGGGCATTGTTTCTCTAAGCATGTCCGAGGATCACCTGCATCAGGATCTTTTGGTGGGGTTATTTAAAAGACGATCACAAAAACTTCAAACAGCCCAGATGTCCTCCAGTGGTTGAACTGACAAACCGGCACGTCCACACCAGGGAAAACTGCTCAGCAATGAAACAGAATGAACTATTGATATAGGAAACAACTGGATGACCCTCAGTGGCATTATTCTGAGTGAAAAGCCATTCTCAGAAGGCCATGCGCTGTGTAATCCACACTCGCAAGAAGTCAACAGTGACAGGAAAGGCTGGTGTTCACCAGGGGTCTGAGGTGGGAGTAGAGTGTGACTGTAACTCTACAGCAAGAGGGAGCTTAACTGGGATGATGGGACTCTTCTGTGTACTGATTGTGGTGGTTACACAAACCTACTACATATATTAAAATTCACAGAATTGTATACTCCACCTCTCCAAAGTTACTGTGTGAAAATTGAAAAAACAAACATACATATATGGAGCTCACCTCAAACCTAACAATCAAAATCTCTGGGCAGGTGGGGCCAAGCCAGTGGCCTATATAACCAGCTCCCAGTGATTCTCATGGACACTAAGTTTTAAGAATCACTGGTTCTCATAGTTATTCATGAGTGTACCATACTCTGGAGTAAAATTAGGAATATTATTGAAGTATAGAATGTGCATAGGCCTTTGCTCAGCAATCCACTTTCAGGAATTTGTTATATGGATGTACTCCCAGGAGTTTGCAGAAACGTACAAACACGGGTACTGTGGATTCAATGCCAGAGTGAAAATTAGGAACAACTTAGATATCCATCAACAGCAAACAGAATAAATGATGCTGCAGGCGTGTCGTGCATTGGTAAGTCGGAGGCCCATGGGGAGGCCTGCGCAAGAGCTCACCTCTGTGATCAGCTGTCTTTCTCCCTTCAATTCACATGCTGTTCCCTTTACTCAGTACAAGATTCTCATCTGGGGACATCAAGGGAAGTGTAGAAATACCTGCAGAGAGAATTTTGGTGGTCACAACTGGGGAATGGGTGCTACCAGCATCTAGTGGGTGGGGGCCTGGGGTGTTGCTTCCCATCCTACAATGACAGGACAGCCCTCAGATCAAAGAACCTCCTTGGCCCCAAAGGTCTGAGGTTGAGAAGCCCTGGCTGCAGGGCCTCTCCACCCACAATTGACCCCAAACCTCTTCCCCAAGCCCTACTTCCTCACTGAAGCTTCCCTAGCCCCCCTAGTATACCAGGATCTTTAGTTTCTTTAAATACTGTTCTGTTAACATCTCCCCCCACCCCACAAGTTAACACTTGACACCTAAATAGTCATCACCAAATCTTGCATTGGTTTTATCCCGTATCCTCAGGTTATAAGACCATTGAGGACAGTGCTATTTATTTTCTCACAGGGATGAGCACAGTGTAAATGTGTAGTAAACACTGTGGGCCCAGTAGGGAAGCACAGAAGAAAAACTAAATATAGGCTGACTGGCTCCTTGTAAGAACTTTAGGATATGGAAGTAGAGGAATATTGTTTAAATGTGAAAGAGAAGTTCTAGAATTTCCACAGAATCGAAACTCCTCTGATTCTGAATATCCCTGGAAATGAATTCAAGTATCAAGCTAGAGTCACAACTGTCCTTTGAAATTTAAATAAAATGCGTCTCAACCCCTGACACGTCTACGTAAAACTGATAAAAACCTGAAAAAGTTCTGTGGATTGTACTGATGTCAGTTTCCTTCTTTTGATCACATAGTAAAGTTATGTAAGACGTTACTCTGGAGCAAAAACAGTGCAGAGTACACACAGCCTCTCTACTGTTCTGCAACTTCCTGTGATTTATAATTATTTCAAAATAAGGTAAGTAAATGGGCAAAGATGTGAATACACATGTCATCTAAGAAGATAAATGAATGGCCAATAAGCACGAGAAAATGCTCAACATCCTAAGTCATTAGGGAAATGCAAATTAAATGCCCTCCCCACCCACTAGAATGGCTACAATCCTGGAGAATGACAATACCTGATCTTATCAAATATAAAGAAACCGGAACCCTCAAACATGGCTGGAGAGAATATAAAATTGAGCCCCTACTTGGAAAACAGTCTGGCAACTCCTTAAAAAGTTAAAAATAAGTTTACCATTCGACCCAACAATTCCACTCATAGGTATCTACCCAAGAAGAAAGAAATGTATGTCCACACAAAGACTTTAGCGCCAATGTTCATAGCGCCGTAAATCACAATGGTCAGAAAGTGTCAACAGGCCGTCCTAGCCAGTTTGGCTCAGTGGTTAGAGCGTCAGCCCGTGGACTGAAGGGTCCTGGGTTCAATTCCGGTCAAGGGCACATACCTCGGTTGCAGGCTCGATCCCTGGCCTGGTCGGGGCTCATGCGGGAGGGAACCAATCGATGTGTCTCTCACATTGATGTTTCTCTCTCCCTCTCTCCCTCCCTCCCTGAAAAGCAATGGAGAAAAATATCCTTAAGTGAGGATTTAAAAAAAAGTGCCAACAGACCAAATGCCCATGAGCTGATGCGTGGCTAAGCCGCGCACGGTGCATCAGTGCAATGGACTGGTGCACGCAGCGGGAACAAGCACTCACACCTGCTGAGCCCTGGTGGGTCCTAGCAAATATCATGCTAAGAGAAAGAAGCAAGACACAGAAACTACATTCTGTGCGAGTCTATAAAATGTCCAGGAGGTGAAGGAAGTGGAGGTGTTCTCCGTGGACACCCACAGGCTAGGCACTCTCATGACGCTGCCCCGAGGTTTCCAAATCCGTTGA